AATTGCCATTGGCCCTCTAAAACAGAATTAATTTGCATAACCATAGCTTTCGATCATTCATGCGCCATTTCTCCTCCTTCGAGGTGGTGCAATACTTTTGATACCCTAGTGTATATTTTTAACATTGTACCATATATTCATTTAATACTAATTCTTCACAGAAAGTTGGCCTTTATTAGCTTCTTTATAGCTATTAGACTTTCATCTAATACGCCAACTGAAAACAAATTATTTTATAAATTATTATATTTGGGGCTGTAGCAAATCTACTATATCTCGGAGCTACAGAGGCTTCAAATAGAGCTGATCAAATTGTATCTGCCAGAAACTTTGACGCTCTCAGCATACCTTCGATAGGTTGGCTAACGACCCACAAGGACAGAAAAATGTAAATTATGGCATTCAACAGTCTCAACATACTAATCCGTTCCTAACTTCGAGGTCTCTTTGTCACAATGAGACAGTAGGTAGCCTGGCAAAACAGTAGCAATTTTCAAGGGACCTGAGAGTTTGTTCGAATTACTAAAATTTCGAACTATACGAGTTCGAATACAGCCTCGCTCCGATGTAAAGCATGATGGTTTAATGGGATAACACCGGGCCGACAGCAACTTTTTTCCAGTCAAAAAAGGAGTTTCAAAGTCAAACGATTTCAAAGTAAATCAATATTTCAAAAACGATTTTCAAAGTTCCTTTTCAAAAAACTTTTTAAAAATATAATTATCGCAATTAAAAAACAATGTATATGGAAAAATTTACAAAAAAAAATTAGATGTGAAAAAATGAACAATGTTGGTCGCATTGCAAGCATATTGGCATCGAATGCTCAGCTGATAGCTCAGAAAGCAGGCACACTGCGAGGAATGTTCACTCGTGCACAAAAGTATTAAACATGTTGAATATACTACGCTGATGGCACGCGTGACCAAATTCTCAGAACAGGACAACGCACACTTGAGGAAACAGCTTACGCCAACAGCCACAAGTGAAGCTCAGCTCAGTTGATAGCCAAGAGTGCGCCGGGCCTAACAGGCTTTATGGGGAAGCTGGTAAAGATTTTGAGAATATTTCCTACTTAAGGGAGCAAGGTAGATGTTTTTGATCTGGACGGTCATCAGAGAGGAAAAAGGGGACATGTGGAAGAATTTGCTAGAAATGTACAACAACTGACGCTACGGGCCTGTTCCGAAAAGCCACCAGAATATCAAGTTCGTTTGATGAGGAAGCACTCCATAGCTGGACTACGGAAGTCGATACAATGCATTGCTTCATAACAGGATCCATTAAATTTCTAAAATACAGAAAAAAGGCAAAAAGCGTGGAGCATAGCGACGAATTTGTTGGTGGATCTGCCCCTCGACCGAAACCTTCTTATGACGTGCTATCCACATTTTTTTCCAGGGGGGGGGGGATTCCCTCAAAAGCTCATGTTAATTTTTTAGAAGAGCAGAAGCCAACAGTACAGAAAAGATTGAAGGAAAATTGAAAAAAATACTCAAAGTATTGACCCTTTCTAAGCGGAGCAGCAATGGAGATCAAAACTATTCTCAGAATAATGTGACACAGTGGCGTAGATAAGGGGGGGGTGAGGGGGCGAGGGGCAACCGCCCTACACCAAGCTTCAAACTGTTGTTGTCGGAAATTCGTGTGATGATATTTTGCGTTGCATTTAGCCTTGCTCTCTATATATAGCTATATCCGACATAACTTTGGGTGTTTTATTATGGGGTTGTGTCATAATTATACACCTTTTTGAAGTTATCATTTAATGGAAACAAGAATTGACACATTGATATATATAACATGTATAGAACTTTTCGTAATTGCAAAGGCGTCGTAGTTGCGTGTTGGTGTGTGCTAAGAAGGGATGCTAGAATGAAAGCGGTAAAAGAAAGAAAATTGAATGTTCGGTTTGTTAGATGTCCTTGGGAATTTCTTGAAGGGGAAGCTGTTACATGTGACCATGAAGATCTACTTGTTTTTTAATAAAGCATAGTTTAATATATTTATTTGAGAGCATTGCTGCAAGATATCTTGACGAGAGAGCCTTCAGCTGCTTGAAACGGGTCAAGACATATCTGCGAAGCACAATATCAGAAAGCCGCCTTCCAGATCTGGCAACAATCACAATAAAAAGAGAGGTATTAGCTGATCTTACTATAAGAGAGCTCCAAAAGCCGTTCTTGGAAAAGAAAACTTAATTATTTTGCTACTGAGCCAAGTACAGTGCTGTTTGCTTTATGTTTTCTATTCTTTAAGATAAAAGAGATTTTGCAGTGTTTAAATGATATATTAGTAGCTTTTATGTTTCCATTGATATTTGACTATAATGTTTGTCATGCTATAAATATAAAAAGTTGCAGAATATTAGCTAAGGCATAGCCAACTGTAATACGTACATTTTCTAAATGAAGAAATTTGTCGGGATTCAGCAGATTAAAACGAGTAAATGCAGTCGAAGTTGGGTTTCAGACAGCGCCTTGGTTTACTAGTGACAATGTAATACGAAGTCAATTCATGTCCATATCATCAGAGTCATCTGTATTATTTTAGTGTTTGAGTCACTGTATATATAGTTATAATAATGAGTTCGTTCGTTCGTTCAAGTTGTTTTTGGCATCTACCAAAATTTCAAAATGGAATGCGGCAACCTTGATGTCAAGGCAAGCTGCTATGAATATTCTTAACAGTGTTCCCTTATGAATTCTTTGCAGATGCATTCAGGCAAATTCAATAACATTTCCTTCCCCTTAAGAAAGAAAGGTACTGAGTTTCACAGTTTGCAGGTCCTCGCCATGTTTGCAGGTCAAATTTGTGACTTAAAAAGAAAAAGTTTCGTACTTGACAGTGTCTTGTGACATTTCTCATTCTTACTATTTTAAGCTATCTGTTTTTCTTCCGTGTGCACTCAATTCCTATTTCATTGCTGGTTTTAGGAGATAATGCAATAATTTGTTCAAATATGATGTCAACTAAAAAAGGAAAACTCTTATTTATAACGCTATTTATAAAAACGGTGTTTTTCTTTGATAAACACATAGACGTTATTTATATAAAAAAACCTGATACACATGTTGTGATTTCTAAGGCTGGTCTTTGTCGGTGTAAGGCAGCCAAATAGACGTTATTTAAACACTATTTACATGATATTATTTACAGTAAACTCTACTCTTGAAAAACAATCAATGTTAACCACTTTTAAAACAACTTGAAAACTTCTTTCTCCAACTACACCATCACAATCCTTTACCAAAACATGACCACGCCTCTCCCAACTTCGACTGAGCTAAACAATCAATCTATCAATTTAAAATGCAGCTAAGCGTGCTAGAAAACCAATGTCTCTAAAGCGACTACGGACAGTACAATAATAATGATAACAAGACTATAACGATCTATGCTACACCGATATATACAATAACAGACAGGGAATTTCGCATAACAATCTAGCAACCTGGGTAACCAGAATTTTCAAAGTTTACATCATAAGAGTAAAGACCACTGAAGCAATGTGATGTGATCAATGTGATCACACCTATAAGCCAAAAGTTATGGCTGTTGAAACGTTTTATTTTGTGAAACAACTTGCATCTGAAGTTTCATGATAGTACAGACGCATAGCAGTAGAATTGTACTTGTTACGATAAGAGCATGAAGTTTGGTACAAGTAGACAATCCAATATGCTGAACAAGATGAAATGCATATCAAGCTTCAAAAGTGCCCCCAAAAGCTATTTTTGGACTGGGGTACCAGTACCCAGTCCTTTTTTAGGTATAGCACTACAACGTTCTAACTTTGCAAGTTTTAAAACTGAAACTTTTTTCTGGCATTATGTGGTGTGCTGATAAATTGAGATGCAAAACAGCTTTAAAATTTCCATCAAAATTTCCATCAGACTAGGGAACTTGTACCCAGTCCCATATTGGGTCTTGCACTATAACTTCATAACTATGCAAGTTATACCACTGAAACTTTGTTTTCTGGCTTAATCTGAAGTGCTGGATAAAATGAATTGTAAAACTAGTTTTAAGACTTCACAAAAGGCTTTATTTAGACTGAGGTACTTATAACTAGTCCACTGTTGGCTATCTCACTAAATTCTATGACTAGGCAAGTTGTACAAATGTGTAAATGATAATTTATAACCATGCTGTGCAAATGATAATTGAATGGTGCAGTTAGCAATAAGAGTACAGAGTTAGAGAGACCACATTTAAGGAGACCAGGGGTTGCATGCTAAACAAATGGTAGCCCCAAAATTAAACCATAGTAAGAGCCATAGTAAGAGCAGGAAGGGAGGTAAAATAAATCAAAACTACTTGGGCTACAAACAGAAATAGACAAAAGGGAATTTAACAACTTGTGTTGACCAAAAAGAATTTCAAAAACTGTTAATTGTGTTAAACCTAATGTATGAACTGATAGCCAGTTGACTTAAGAAAGAGAAGAATGTGGTGGCATTAAATGAAGCCTTTTATTCATACTTTGTGCATCAAAACCAAAGCCTAACATTGACAATCTGTGAAATTTGTAAAGAAAAATTAGTTGCTTCAAGATACCAAACCTTATTACTTCTTTTTCATATATTGTAATAGGTAGCTTTCTGTCTAGCAAATATATTTTGTTTTTCCAAATACCTGATCAACAATTTTCTACAAAGATCTACAAAGACTTTTTGAAGTATATTTTACTCTTCAGACAAAACTAAATCAAGCAACAAGAAACAAAACAAGAAAAAGCAAAAAAAAATATTTCGAGTTGAAAATACCATAGATTGAACAAATATTTAGGCGTTTTGGCTACAGGTATCTCCTGCCATGAAAAGCAAAAATAAACGGACCACTTTCAACAAACAATCTTTTGTAAATCTCGATATAATTGCATCACATCAAATTTTGACTGAGCTTTAAGGGGTGGTGCATTGCAAAAAAGGAACTCTTTGGATGCTACTGAGTGTAATGTATCCAAACAGAAGAGAAAAAGACAACAAATATCTCACCTGTGAAGACATTTTTCTGTAATATTCTTCTAAAGAGCATGCTTGATATGGGCAACTTGAAACTAAGTATCCAATCGAATCAATAAGCCTTGTTGCTTTCTCATCTACAACAGACAACATAACTTTAGAACTAATAATGTACATAGAAAGAAAGGAAAAGCTGCAGCATGTTTCAAGTGATGACAAGTAACTTATAAATGATTGTGCCCAAGTCCTGCCCACACTATGCAAAACAGAATAGAAATTTCAATTCACTCTGTGATTGGCTTGTAGAAAATGAACTCAGAATTCATTTTGGAGAAGAAAAAACTAAATCCATTCTGTTTTTTAAATAATTGCAAGAACCAGAGATAACACGAGATCAAAGTTTAAATTAGACCTAATATTTTGGAAAAGCGTTACTGGACAAACATGCCTATCTTACCTAGGGCCCAGAACATGCAACAGTCTTCCGTCCACACTAAAATCAACATCCAATATCAGCATATTCAAGCAAATGACTTTTATTGCTCCAAAATATAGTCAAATGGAAGATGGCATATGTGTCTATAACTAAGAACTGGTTTGTAACTAACAACAGTAAAAAGTTCCTGTATCATCCTACTTCTCCGGACCATTATGGAAATAAGGTCAGCTTAATGCTATCCACGCCACTGAAATTAGAGTAGTTTACCTTTTGTTTCTAATATTTTACAGGAAAATAAGACAAAAGCTATGTGACAAAATTTGCTTTGTACATACCAATGTTGTCCTCATCAAAAAGAGCATGCAACATGACTTGCAAACCATTGTCTTCCATTAATTTTTGAGACAACAATTTTGAGCAGATTTTCTGTAGCCACTTTGGTGTTGAAGGACTGTTTGGATTTGGGTGGTGAGATTTTCTAAACCCTTGAAGTATCAACAAATTTCTAACAGCAAGGGGCTGATAAACTGAATCTAGCAAATCTCTTAGCATGGACTTGCACCAGTCCCTTTGGTGTTTGCACACATTAAGAAAGCTTTTCAGACCCTTCTTGTCAGCAATGTCCTTTCTACAGAAGTTTGGATCCTGTTGGCTCTGTGGCTTTACTTTGAAGCCAATTTGTATCAAAGCCCCAAAGATCTCTACAAGAGATTTACCTATAATAAGCTGTCCAAACTCTGCATTCCTAATCAACTGGCACATACCTTTAATACATATCAACAGAAATGCTTCATCAATAGTGTCATTTTGTTTTCCCTCTTCAAGCAATACCCAATATTGACTCCTTTCAGAAGATGGTGCGCACACACCTGGCTTTAAATTGGCATAGACACCAAAACAGGCAACCAGCTGACATGCAGTCATAATTAGTTTTTTATCATTTGCTCCAAGAACAATCAAAGGAGCATTGTTGTGATTTGACTCGCCTAAGATACTCAAAGTTTTAGTGACTGCTTCATGTATCTGGACCAGAATTTGCAAACAGGCTATTGTGAAAAATTTTCTAAAATCTTGAGTATATGCATCTACTTTTTCCGTCAGCTGTTTTTCAATCTGGTTGTCCTGATCGCAATTGCCCTGACTGCATTGAACCATTTCGAAATCTTTCATGATAAGGTCACTTACAACCTCACGCAGATCTGTATATTCTGAAGGTTCGCATTTCCTCAGGTTCTCAAGTTTCATTTTTAGAATAACATCTAGTTTTCGTTCATTGTTCTTTACTAAAAATTTTTCGTCGCCGTGTTCTGTGAGCAAGCATCTTAAGAGTTTCAGGTGCCTTGACACTTCTGTGTCCGCCATTTCCATTTACTACTGAAACCACGACATGTATAAGAGGCTAAGTATGTAGCAAATTGTGAGCGCTCCTTCCTATCTACCTCTCTCTCTCTCTTTCTCTCTTTCTCTCTTTCTTTTGTATATAGTTGTTGTTGTTGCGATTGCACTCAGTTGAATATAATTCTTTCTTACGAACTCGAAGGGAACGACGTGAACCTCTCAAACAGAGCATTTTTAACAGTGTGACTACTGGGGAACGTTCCCCAGTAGGCCCAATGCTTTCCCCAGTAGTGAACACCAAAATCACAGAATTTCCCCAGTAGTTGGGGCCCTTTCATCTCTCACTTACCTACATATTTATTTTTTGAAAATCAACTTTTAAATTAAGTTTATTGAATTTATAAACTAAACTCAAGATGTGAACGGTTTCCAAAATTGAAAGATAATAAAAAAACCGCCTTTACGCAAACAAACAGAATTTGTTTTTACTCCCAAATGCCTTTGGTGTTTTACTTGGTATTGTTTATAACATCAGGCCCCTCCTCCCCTTTGTTGTTCTGTTCTTTTTCCGTTCAAGTTTTTTGTCCTCTCGTGTGAAAGTAAAACAGATGTTGCGGATGTCCGCTTTCATTCACCCCCTTGTGTAATTCCTTTGTCTCAATCGAGCCTATGTCGTCATTCTGACGCTCTTTGTTTAAATGTGTGATCATTGACAGAACATTCGCTATATATGTATATCAAGGTCAAGGAAAAGTTTAGAAATATTCATTCGCAATTGATTTTCGCAAGTGCAACGAAGAGCAAAATGAAACGAAAAAAGAAATGTGGAAATGATAAAAGAAACGAAAACAAGAAGAAAGCGTTAGTTGCAGCAGCATTGGCCCCAGGACAGAAATCATTGGTAGGAATGTTTTCCCAACAAACTTTGAAACCCTCATCGTCGATATCCAAGAAATGAAGCCCCTGAAGTTGCGCACGTTGGGGAAGAAAAATTTGCTTCCAGTTCGAAAGAAAAGAATGAGCAAAATGACAAACAAAACGAAATCAAGCAGCCTGAAAGCAAAGAAGGTGAGGCGAATTTGATGTGGTACAAAGGGAAGAAACTTGACTCAAGCTGGTTAATTTTGTCAGAGTGCTGTCTTAAAATTCATACAGAAATGAAAAACAAGAAGCGACGCCAGGTAATGACATGTGAGTTGTGTAAGAAATACGAGGAACAGGTTGTAAAATTCTCTGTCAATGGACGCCTGCCTATGGCATCTGGAGTACGAATTGACGGGAAAGAAAAACTGAAATGGGTTATAGATCATTTAGAGTCGCCTTCGCACAATGAATCCAAAAGGTTGAAGGAGCACGAAGATACATGGAGGAGTATGTCAACAGATCATCCATGGGTGAGGATGATTGAAAAACACAAGAAAGAAACTTTGGAATTTCTTCTTAGATTGGCTGTGGATGTCTACAATGACTGCAGAGCCGAAACACTAAGTGCAAGAAGTTGGCCATCAAGATCTCTTTCTTTCGAGCATAGCAATAATTTAATGCGAGTTTTTCATTCAGAAGGGTGGGATGTTGATTTTGTTGGTTCCGAGAAGTCAAGCTTTTATCATTACCGAGATCTCGTCACCTATGCTGAAATGAGAAATATTGTTGTTAAATTTGAAATGGAAAAAGTTGCAGCTGAATTGGAAAACTGCATTTGTTATTCCTTACAAATTGATGGAAGTTCTGATAGACAGCAAATTGACTCCAAGTTCATAACAGCAAGGTATGTGCCAATCGATGAAGTCTGCGTTAAAACTGTATTTCTTGGAGTTGCAAGCAGTGACAGGGGTGGTGCTGCTGGAATGTTAGACTCACTGATCAGTTGTTTGGAATCGGTGAACGTAGACACAGAAAAACTGGTTGGCGTTACGACTAATGGGGAAAGTGCCAATACAGGAAAGAAAGGAAGTCTCTGGAAATTGCTGAAAGATCATGTTGGCAGGGACATTCTGACTGCTTGGTGTGTATGTCATAGATCAGATTTGGCTCTCGAATCTTTGCAAGCAGAAGTGCCTGAGCTGCCGATCTGGTTGAGCAATTTGCTAGCTTTGGTCAACTTTTTTAGAACATCTCCACGAAGAAGATTATGGATCAAATGCCTATTCCAGGTGGTAAAGATGAAGATCATTTAAGGAAATTGCAAGAAGACAGCGCAAATAACGAAGCAGAGCAATGTAGGAGAAAAACGGGAAATCATTTTGTCACTGCGATGAGAAGAGACAACAAGGCAGTTAGAAATGAAGTTGTACAATCTGCCATCAACTTCCTGCATGAGCGAATAAACATAGAAAATGACGGAACAATAAACAGTCTGGAGACAGTGCTGGAAGCTAAATCACCAAAAGTGTTCATAACATCCAGCAGAGAACTGGTGTCACAAATGTTTGGTAGCCAAGTGTTTGAAGAATTTGTTTCTGATGTTTGTTCTTCGTGGGGCAAGTTTTCTGAGGTGAAGAGCGTTGATGTTGAAGACACGGGAACTGTGTAGGCCCTTAAATTGAGAAAAATGACGCAAGCCAGTCAAGGCATCATGAAAAAGTTTCTGGCATCTTTCTTAACACTGATCCCTCACAGCATGGCGACTGAAAGAGTAGTCTCGCATTACAACAACATCAAAAGTGTGAAATGATCATCCTTGCATCAAGAGACGATCAATGGTGTAATGAACATATCTCTAAATGGGATAGGCACTGCCTTTTATGATCCAAGACCGGCTGCGTTCACGTTTTTAAAGAAGAAAGACAGGTGAAATGCACAGCCTTGCAGTGAGCTTTACAAACAAAGAGATTTTGTCAGAAAGTTTTTTCAAAGTGACAATGGCTGTCTTTAGTTTACTATTATATGTTTGTGGTGTGGCTAAAAACTTGTAACTACGAAAATTCATTAATTAAAACAGTGTGTTTTACAGCGGCATATACCTGTGTCCTTCTTTTGGCTATTACACTTTTGGGCCCTTTTTGCAAATTTTCCCCAGTAGTTGAAATTCCTTAAAAAATGCCCTGCTCTCAAATATATCTCTCGAGATATATCTCTCAAAGAACTCTCGATAGATGCGAACGCCAATCACGAGGAAAGAAGATCGATGGAACGATTCACATAAAGAACAATATTTAGAATAGTACTAAATCAAGACCTTATTGGATAGAGGTGACTTCGTTAAAATTCTTACGTTATTTCTTCTCTCTGGACGTTAATTCTTCTATCTGATTAATAATTCGTGGTTGTTTATGTCATTATATTCGCTGATGTTTATACTTTATCTTGCATTTAAATTCGAATAAGAAATTATACAGTCCTCTGACTTTGATATAGAATTTGATCTTCAAGACGAATGAACCTATATGGTAATTCTAACCTGCCAAGTAAATAAATCTTAGCTATTTACATCTTAGTAGTGATTCCTGGCAGGTAATTCTCTATAAAGAATCAATAGTGGGTGATGGGTGAAGAGCCACAGAAAATACCGGAGCCATAGAATACCGGAATCCCAGGAAATAGTGGATTTTATTTCTAAATTTTGTTTATTATTTTGATCTTGGAATTAGTATAAATTATCATTTCTACTTTTAGTTTCACGTGTTATCTTCATTTTTAAGGATAAAAACTGATCAATTCGCTTTTAGAATCAAAACTAGGATCAACACAAAATATGTCAACATGAAATAAAATTTCATTATGCAGTCGAAAATAAGTGACAAACACTTAATTGACTGGGGGTTGTACATAAAAGCAAAAGTTACCGTTGAAATAATGGAAATCTGACTCAAATTCGGCAAGGAAAGAGGGCTCATCGGTCTCCCTTACTTTACAGTTTGAACGATTTCCAAGAGACGAAGCACAACTGTGTGTCATATTTCTGAGGTCGCATTTCAAGGAGGGAGGAAACCGTCCGCATCTGTGACTCTTGGCGGCAAAAGTTGACATTCGGATGCTTGCTTGCAGTACCACGCACATATATTTTTCCACTTTTGCAAGTTTCCAGTAATTTCGATCACAAATAGTTGCGATAAACACCTTTCCGTTAATTTAATTGGCCCGAAGGGTCCTGGAATATCCCTGCACTTTTTGCTGAAACCTCTCATAAAATTTCTTTTTTCTTTTCGAATTTCTAAAAGAGTCAACATAAATAACTAAACGGCTCTTTCAGTGAATGGAAAACCACGAGTGAAGGTGTGCCACAAGGATCAGTTTTGGGACCTCTCTTGTTCAATATATACATAAATGACATGTTTATGAATAGCCAAATATGCAATTATGCTGATGACACAATGCTATATGTCATCCACCAAGACATTAAGCAGGCTATCAAAATACTAGAACAAGACGTAGTTATTTTGAGAGAATTGTTTCAAAATAATTATATGAGAATGAATGGGGACAAATGCCACCTTATAAATTTTGGTAAAGGCAGCAATGACACATCTCTAATAATAGATAGAACGATGAATAAACCAAGTAAAGAACAAAAACTTCTTGGAATAAGTATTGCTAATAATTTGTCGTTCAAAGGACACGTACAATCGATATGCAAAAAGGCCAGCCAAAAGCTACATGCTTTATCCCGAACCTCCAACTACATGGATTATAGAAAAATAAAACAGACCATGCACGTCTTCATTTTACCACAATTTAGCTACTGCCCTTTAATTTGGATGTTTTCTGATGTACAGATGAACAACAGAATGAACAAAGTTCATGAAAAAGACAACTCGACGTCTATCCATGATAAAAATCTGCAATTGCTTCTTACAGAAATATATAAAACTTTACATAATCTCAACCTAAGTTTCATGAAAGAAATCTTTACTGAAAGAAATACATGCTATAATCTTAGAAATATATCCCGAATATCGCTATCAAAATCAAAATCAAATTGTTATGGTATAGAAAGTAGAACCTTTATGGGATCCAAGCTCTGGCAAGAGCTTACAAATGACATTAAAACATCTTCTAGCTTCGCAATATTTAAGAAAAAGATTAAAACTTAGAAAGATACAAAATGCAACTGCA